TATTTGAACACTCTAAAATATAGGGCACGTTTAAGGTACAATTCCGTAGCCGACTGCAGATAGCAGCAGCAAGCGACGTGCCGTCACGACACAACTGGTTTCTATGTAGTTCTATGAAATACTTTCCGTAGCTAGCGTCGTTTGCCTAGCAGCAGATGACACTGTAGCTCGACCGCAGATCCGCCAACACCCGAAAAACAACACGTTGAATTTTTCTTAAAAAATGGATTCCGAGGAAGAGAAACTAATAAACCAGGTGGCCCAATATCCAGCTCTGTAAGTTCACTCACTTTCTCTGCATCTCAACATAGGACGTGTGTATTTTCGTCTTTTCTCTTCATATCCTTGAATAATAAAATCAAGTCATCATCATCTCCTTCCCCTTCTAACAAAAGATACAAAAATAAATCGTGATCGCTAATTTGAAACCTGTCAGACATCATGTCCCAATGAATACTCGGAACAGACTGGACTGAACACGGGCTGCTGCAGCCTGCAGTTGGGTTCGGAATCGTGACTGCATCGACATGACGCCACGACATGTGGCAGCGACATGTCGCGGCGACACGTCTCCTGCTGCTGCTGCCTGCAGTCGGCTACGGAATTGCACCTTTAATGTTCTATTTAAAAAACATGGTGTCGTAAATTCACCTATAGCAATCAATGTTTTGTAAAATATTTAATTGATTACTTAAACAGTGCGAAATTTTAATTTAATTGAACTAATTAAGTCAGATTACATATCGTTGCCACCGTTTTTATGTTTAGTAAAAACAGTAATTAGGAGAATTTATCATCTACATCTGAACAATATATCAAACTGATCAAATATAATCGAAAAAATCTGCACCGCTACATGATAAACAAATCTAATTTTTGCACACGTTGCATTTCATCATATCTATTAAACTTAAAGAATCACTTTTATAAAAGTGAACAAAACTGCAAATTTTAAACTTGTTTGATTCATGGTAACAATACTTTTACTTGACGCTTATTTTCTTTATGATGTGTTTTCTCTCTAACATTCTTTGGAGGTGGGTATTCTCCAGACTTCAATATTCGGACCCTTTTCTTAGTTGCGGCAGCGTTTGACGCCTTCAGCAGCCTTCAATGCTATAATCTTCATAATAAATCAAATATTTTTATTATTTTATTTTATTTTTAATGGATAAATCTGGGAAACAATTTCTGGACTCTGAACCAGCATTAGCAAATCCGTGGTCAAAATATAATATATTATTTTTGTACTTTTGAAATCAATTTCATTTTATTACTAGAGCTTTAAGCCGTAGCTTTCCTTATACTAAAAGATATTATTTAACGTAATAGTCAACAACACAATGCTGAACACACGTTTACAGTTCCATTAAGTAAAAATCTCATTCCGCTTATACATAATGTTACTTAGTGGACATTACGAACTGCTACCTTGAATTATTCCAAGTATTGATTTTATAATAAATAATATGAAAATGTCGAAATTGTCTCTTTCTAATTATTGGTTGATAACTATAAAATAAATCTAGAAACATGAAAAAGTGAGAAACTTATTACTTACATGATAGTGAAGCGTTATTAATGGAACAATTTTTCAGACCTTTCAACTTCACTACACAAAGTGAGAAACTGCGTCAAAAATAAGGCAAATAAAGACCAAATTTTTTTTTGTTTATTATGTAAAAAATACACAGAATAATAGTTGATTTTTGTTCATAGTTGGTCTAATTGCTGTTACTACTTGTGCACAGTCCGCCTTGCTGAATTTAGAGGCCAATATTAAAATTCACTTTATATAATCGCATTTTTACAAATGATTATAATTAATTGAAACTTTATACAGCAACTTCTTATTTTTATGATTGGTAATTAATTAATTATAAAAATAATCGTCTTATTAATCGAGGTTTGAAATGAGCATGGTCCATGTTGAAAAAACCCAATTGTGTGTTTGTATTAACGTTTTTTATCGTTTCTTTTTTATTTAAATTAAATTATTATTAATTATAGTATAAAATATAAATGATAATAAGTCATTTAGTAGAATAAAAATCATCAGTCCTGCCCGTGACCATGAGTGCTGTAAAGCGTTCGAAACGTCGGGTATTTAAAAGTTAAATATACGCGATAAATTCCGTAAAAACTAGTATTATTTCAAGAATGTTTCACTACTGTGGTTGCTATATCTGCTAGTCAATGTATTTTCAAAGAGAGTGGACAGTACAATTTCTTCATAAATTTTTTTTTTGAAAAATGCCGTAGCACTATGCTCAATGACCTCAATAGTGTTACTCAACGGATATATTTTGAGATGAACATGGATAAAACAAAAGTCATGTGTAATATCCACGTCACGCCTATGCCGGTAGTTGTTGGGTGCACTAAGCTCAAAGTTGTTGACGAGTACGTTTACTTGGGACAAATAATCTGACTAGGTAAGGTCAGCTTCGACTGCGAGGTCAATCGACGAATTCACGTCGACTGAGCATCGTCTGGGAAATTTCGACACATCTTCTCATTAGGTATACCTCAAAACCTCAAAACGAGATTATACAACCAGAGCGTGTTGCCAGTGACAATTTATGGATCTGAGACGCGATCCATCACTGCTGGCCGTATGAGGACGCTTAATGTTGCTCAGCGAGCTATGGAGATGGCTATGCTCGGGGTTTATCTGCGTGATAAACTTAAAAATGAGGATTTCCGCAGCAGAACCAAAACGGACCAACATAGCTCAACGGATTAGTAAGCTGAAATGGCAATAGGCAGCCATATAGCTCGAAGAAGAGAAAAAAGATTCTCTAGTGGCCGTGTCGTACCGGTGGGCTAAGTGTAGGGTGACCCCTCAATAGATCGAGTAATAACCTGGTAAGATATGCAGGAAGTCAATCGATGCAGGTGGCTCATTGACTGTGCTTTGTTACATTCCTTGATGGAGGTCTATGTTGAACAGTGAATTTTTGTAGGGCTGTAATCATGAGGATGATGACGACCTCTATTTCTAAGTTGTGACTGATTACTAGGCTGAAAAGGAGTTATTCAATTTGCTGGATTATCATAGGTGTGTATACTTTATCTGCCTTAGAATCACTTTCTTTGATAATTTAACTTATTTAATTTAAACTTAATTAGAATTTATCAAATTCAAAAATTACATGTGGGAAACAAATTTGAATGTTTTATGTCGAAGAAATACATTTCTTAAATTTCTGAAAGAACATAAAATTATACAAAAGTGTGAAAAAGCTTCTTCTTTAGCATCACCAGTCTGTAAAACTCCATTGCTGTACGTGGGGTTGCGTAATATGTGGTATACATACAAGTCCTGGATTTAATAAACGAAATAATCTATTTTACTGTAATAAAAGACTGTATTTGGGTTGAGAAATTCATAATTTAAAAGTGTTTTGTTTTTTCTGTTAACAGTACTCAATAGAGAAGAGCTAGAATTAGTAATCATTTATTTATTTATAAGATGTATCCTATATGTATATATAATAACAGTTTATTTTTTTCATTCACTTTTACATAAATATACATATAAACATTTAATATGTACAAAGTTTAGAACTGGAATACAAACACAAGACATGTAAATTTTATGATATGATTAAAATAAAAACAAATAGCATGTTTGATTTTTTCCCATTTCGGTTACCTTAGGTTAATGCATTTTAATAACAATATTGCCCTTCAGAAATAATTTCGGTCACGGCGGCCATGTCTCAACGGTGACTAATCACCATTTATGCAAAACAGGATTAAAGTGAACGCGTGTGTGTAACTCTTTATTCCCTCACTGTCATAGTCCGGTGAGATGGCGGTTCAGCATGACAGGAGCGACATCAGGTCAAGGTCAACGGCTTTCCGTACTGGCAACAGTCATCTGGATGCTACTGAAAATTTCTTGGCAGAAAAACTCTATAACGAGTTTCTGCACGACGCGGTATTCAAACTAAGGACCTAATGACCATCAGTCGCACTTTTGACCACTAGAACAACGAGACATTTTAGCACATTATGCAAGGCGGCTGGCCTTAACCTTTATTTTGACGTGGTGTCGCATCGTTTGTCTGCTAAAAGGATTTGACTCCACTAAAAAAAGGATCGATGACATACAAAGGAAGTCGATAGGTGCAGCACGTTCAAACCTATGAATAGGCCTATGTTTAGCTGTAAGACTTGTAAAGGGCTGTATTGGAGGGTAATAATGATGATGAAAAAGGATTATAATATTGATTACAATAATTTAGTGGTAAAAAATGAATTCCAATAAGAATTACATGTAATCAATATTGAATAAAAATATTCTATTCTATTCTAATCTAGTAATAAGGACATTACAATAAAAATTTTAGCAAAAAAAAAGTCATTCAAAGTATATTTCGATTATATTTTTCAATACCAGTGCGCATTAGATATTGCATGACACAAACATACACAGTAAAAAAACATAGAGACACTTCTAAGTAACCTAAAAAACTTTACACAACTAAACGTGTTTACTTCAAAGTTCCCTTCACCACTTTACATAAAATTTGGTCAAACGTTGCCGTCTTTACGTAAAATTGATAAAAAAGAAAATTTACGACCGCTAAACACTATTGGGCACAGGCGTGAGTGTTTTTAGTATGTTTGTGGGCACAGGTTTCGTCTCATTACTGAGGGGATTATGGAGAAATGAATCCGCCGTAATGCTCCAGTGCGTATTGACGGGCACTTGTACTCGAAATATTCTTATTTCGCAGACATGCAGGTTTTCTCACGAAGTTTTCAGTTAACAGCTGTTAACAATTTCATTAGGCCTTTGGTAAGGAATCCCTATCCTCGATAGATGTTTCTTTAGTTTCCGCAAGATTTTGTAGGAATTTCAGAATAAGGGGATCTTGGTTGTTATCTACTTTGATATCAGGACTATCAAATGTGTATCTATTTTGCTGTTCTGGAATAGTTTCTAAAACTGTACATGTTGTAAGTGGTTGGGTCCTTGTAAGTATATCTTATAATAAATGAGAATTTTGTGCGTTATCTGTAAAGTTATGATTATCAGAGATATGTTTGTCTGGACTATCACATTTTGTAGTTACATGTGAAGTAGTGGATGTGAGTAGGTTGAGATCAGCCATGGTTTGTGCTACTGTTATATTTTGTTCAGCTCTAGATTTAATTTCGTCTAAAACCTGGGTTGACAAGAATTTTCTAGTTATTATACTTCCAGCTTGGTTTGCAAGTGTGTTTCCTGTGAATTTTAGTGTTTTAGGATTATTAGTATTCCTATCTTTGAACAGTTTTTCAAATCTTTTTATGTAACCAGGGCCTTCAGATTTCACTCTAAAATAACAGAATAAAAGATTATGAAGTTCTTTTGTGAACTTTCTCTAGCATCAGAGCGTATGGTCACTTCTAAAGTACCGGCAGAGCCGTTTTTAGGAGGCTCATCCCTTCTCTGCAAAGTATCACCAGGATCGGCAGTTGCATTTGAGGATCCTCGTCTTCCCCTCTGGATCTCTCCGTCCCTAGCCCGCCTGTTCAACGAGGTCTGGCTGGCTCGATTGCTACAGATTTTACAGCGTGTCCTGGCGATCACCTCCAGGCAGCGGCATTAAACGTTTATTCCTATTTTCCATTTCTCCATTGTGTGTTGCCATAACCTTATTAGCTTGTAAGTTTTGTAAAAAATACAAGTGTCCCCCTCCAAGGTAAAGTCGGTGTTCGCTTCGGACGTAAAGGTTGGGCTTTTTATTTATTATTATATATAATTTTATTATTGGAGGGTATCAATATAGTTTTCTCATCTGGTTTGGTTTTATAAATATATAATTATAAATGAAAATGAAAAGATAACATAACACATAACATAAATATCAATAACATAAAATAAATATAAAAATACATATATAAATAAAAGCCCAACCAGATGGAGGCCCTCGGCAGGGGAGACCAAACGACCGAGGGTTGGGGCGAAAGGGAAAAAAACCGGCAGACGATGCGGGCGGTATCGAGGAGCAACGCCTTCTGCATTTGAGCCTGGAGCGGTCCGCCAGTAGTTCCAGCCGCATCAGATGACCCGAGATGCTGACTGGGATTAGCTCATTTGCAGAGACGACTACAGGAATAATTTCGGTCGGCAGACCACCCCACATGTCGGTCACCTCGTGAGCCAGGTAGAGATTGTTTGCTCATCTGTTTCGGCTTTCACGAGGTTCTCGTCATACGGAATGGTAAAGTCGACCAAAATATCCTTGTCTGTGCCCGGTCCATCAGCACAATATCAGGCTTATTCGCAAGAATAGTCCTGTCTGTGATGATGGCCCGGTCCCAATAGAGCCTGGCGCGATCATTTTCGAGCACGGCTTCCAGCAAGTACTTGTAATACGGCAATTTCCGATCCACGAGACCGTATTTCAGAGCGAGCTCCTGGAGAAGAATTCTGGCTACTAGGTTGTGCCTGTGTAAGTACTCAGAGTTAGAAAGCGCCGAACAACCGGAGATGACATGCCTAAGTAACTCACCTGGATGGCGACAATCTCGACAGATGTCGACGGTGCCATCCTTTAGGATGTATCTCAGATAGTTGTTGGTCTTAATAACCTGATCCTGTATTGTACAGACAAAAGCCTCGATTTCCCCGAAGAGATCACCAAAGCGTAGCCAGTGGAGGGAGGCTACTGTGTCTACGAAAGGCTCATGTAGAGCCTTGTAGAACCTCCCGTGGAGCTCCTTCTCCTTCCATACGGTCTCCCGGTCGGAAATGCTCTGCACTGCCGGGTCTTGCCATTGCTCGTAAGGATGGAGGGGTAAGTCCTTTATCACAAGAAATGACGTCTTTATAGAATGGATCATCGGATCTCGCCAGAAAGTAATTACGGAGGCTGCACACTTCGCGATTATGCATGGTGAGCGCGCTCAAGAAGCCACGCCCACCATGCTTCCGCGGCAAGTACAGCCTCATTACCGACAATCTCGGATGATGCATCCTATGGGACGTCGTGGTAGTGCGGACTTTTCTATCCAGGGCGTTAAGTTCAGTCTGAGTCCACCTGAGTATGCCAAAGGTATACATGAGGACAGGTATGACCCAACCGTTATATGCGTGTGCCTTATTCACACCGGACAAAAGGCTGTTAAGCACTTTGGTCAAGCGTGCATAAAACACGTCGCAAACTGACTGTTTCATACCAGCCTCATCGATACCGTTGTTCTGTGACATACCCAGGTATCGGTATGTTTCAGCCTCGGAAAGGGTTCTTAAGTTGACGGACATAGATACGTCTATGCCCTCCGAGTTAGCAACCCTTCCCCTTTCAACATGGAGGACCGCACACTTATCCGTCCCCAGCTCATTTCCAATGGAATTGCTAAATTCACAAGTGATGTTTAGCAATACCATAAGATGGGAGCGACTGCAGGCGAATAACTTGAGGTCATGCATATAGAAAACGTGGGTCACCTTTGTCCCTCCTTTCCGTAGCTGAAATCCTCTCCCGGAGCCCTCAAGTAAAGTACTGAGAGGGTTCAGAGTGAGGCAGTACCAGATTAGACTCAGACAATCACCCTGGAAGATACCATTTCTTATCCTTATGTTGTTCTCCGCAGCCATCATCCGCTTGCGCAGATGACAAATGATCGTACTCCACTGCCTTATACATTGCTCGAGGAAGTCTCTAACTGTACAGACTACCTTGTACAGCTCGAGGACTCTCTTTAGTCATGTATGGGGCGCCGAGTCGAATGCCTTTCTGTAGTCTATCCAGGCGGCTGAGAAGTTCTGACGGTTGCGTTTCACCACTTTGCCAATGACCGCGTCAATGAGGAGTAGTTCCTTGGTTCCACGACCACCGCCGCGACATCCATTTTGAGCGCGCGACATCACCTGATTTGAATCCAGGTGACAAGTGATTCTCCCGCTCAAAATGGATGTTAGTGTCTTGTATATGATTGGTAGACACGTGATGGGGCGGTATTTGCTCGGGTCTGTGGTACCCTGGACTTTAGGAACCAAATGGGTGATCCCAGTAGTGAAGAGGCTTGGGAGCGACTTCTGGTTGAGAGCCTCTTGAAACTGTCGGGCGAGCAATGTGTGACACACCACGAACCCCTTCAGCCAGTAGTGATGCAGCCCGACGAGTCCCGGGCTTTTCCAGTTCGGGGCCCTACGGACTGCCTCAGCTACGTCATCCGGTGTTATAATGACGGGGTCCATGGACAGTATACTCGCACATTGACTCGCCACAACTTCCGTCCAAGGGCCCTCGCTGTGATTTAAGGGCTCTGACCACAGGCCGCGCCAGAATGCTACAGTGTCTGGCGTACTGCGCGTTTCCACAATCGCCTCTTCCAATTTACTCCTCATATGCTCTAATTCCAGTTCCTGGGCGACTGTTCCATCATCGTTTAAATCAATCACAACTGGGGTATTCACGGCGGTATTCACGTTTGCGGGTTGCTCTACAATTTTTGGCACCGCATCTTCAGCTGTAGCATTTTCATCCGATGAGGGAACAGCCTCACGTCGTAGCCGTTCGAGTTCGGCGACATCATATATATTTGAGGGCAAGATATACCGAACTCGGTCTGCCAGGTTTTGCTCTTTGACAGTTAAAGATGGCTCCAGCTCAGCAAAAAGACGATGCATCCTTGCCCGATACGCCAAACATCCAGTGTCATCCCCTTTTGCCCTAAAGTACGCCCGCAGTGCGTTTGCGTTCATTGCTTGTGACCAACGCATGCGATGTGCTCCACCATCGGCGGGTGCCGCTTGCTGAGTCCGAGAAGACCCAGCCGACACCAAGCCTTCTGGTGGGGGTGATGGATGCGGAGGGCTGCTAGGTGACCGCGCAACTTCTCGCGCTCGGCTGGCGGCTCGCATGCTGCCGCGTCCAGTTCAGCGTTCGTTATTCTGACACCATTTTATTTTGGATTTAAACAGTTTTCTACTTTCATTCATTTTTTCGTAATAAATTCCAATTTTAAGTTTTCCATATAATACCCACATATAAAAGCTAATTCACGCGTCATTTTGAAATGGTTTAACATATTTATTTCAACCCAAAACATATTTATTTCTACATTTCCTATACTCATGAGTCGCTATTGCCGCCCCTTTCAAAGTACATAAAATGCTGTCATACATTTTATCGATTATTAATTTATGTACCAAAATAGAACAGTAGTGATTAGCACAACACCTAAACTCTTCAGGAAAATCAATATATCTAAGCTTTTTACAACAAATTTCAAAATACTTTTTTATTTGACTTCGGTTTCTTAAACGCCATACAGATTTATCAGATTTAAGATTACATTCTTGTACTTTGTTACTTAGTTTTCCCATATAAAAAGTTATTTCAAGTAGAAAATGGTCAGACCAGAAAACATAATAAAGTACCATAATATTTACAACAGATTTCATGGCTGACTTAGTTGTAATGCAATGATCCAGCCAGCGATGAGAACCATTTATATCACTTATATACGTAAACGTATCATATTTTTTTTAAATAGTCTTAGTCCCCTACATCCCATATTTGTTCGCAACAAAAATTACTCATTTCATTAAAAAAACAATTGGCCAGGATTTGCATTAAAATATCCTAATAAAAATACAGAATATATATTATTACATTCTATTATAGCATTTATTTCACTGAGACAGCTTGTAAATTCTGTTAAATTGTCCCACGAGTCGCAGGGTATATATAAAAGGTGATGAATAACGTATTCCTGACGTCCACAACAGTTTTAATTGCGGCCATATATATATATATATATATATATATATATATATATATATATATATATACAAAGATCCGTAGTCTATCAAATCCGATGTAATGGTTGGGGCCATCTAGGATATGATCGCAAACTGCAGACTTCCCGGAAAATTGATGCTTCACGTCAGCTATGTGTTCTTTTACGCGAATTCTAATTGATCTCTTTGTTTGCCCTATGTATGAGAGACCACAATCACAATCAAGCTTGTACACTCTTGCATATTGTTGAGGAATATGACACTTGACGGATGGTAGGAACTGACTAATCTTCTTCGACAGCTTGTAGAATGATCTAATAGAAGCTGGCTTCAAGATGTAACCAATCTTGTCTGTGACACCTCTGACATATGGTAGTGCAGCAGGCACACGCTCGACTGTGGCCGGCTTCACTCGATCACTGTGACGTTGGTGCGGGAGCCGAAACTTGTTGTCGTGCAGAACGTGCTTGACGTGCTGAAGCTTGGCAGCCAGGTGTTTGCTGTCACAGATCCCTCGTGTTCTCAGCAACAAATATTTGCCCACGGTAGCTAACTGTGAAGGATGGTGGTGAGATTCACCGTTTAAATATCTGTTTGTATAGGTCTTTTTTTCTACACACAGTATGGCCTCAAGGTGGTTATCAGGATTTCGAATGACTAACACATCTAGGAAAGCTAAGACAATTGTTTGCCTCTAACTCCATTGTGAACTGAATTTTAGAGTTTATAGAATAAAGATGTCCTAAAAATGCAGTTACTTTGTCTGATGGTAAAATTGTGAAAGTATCGTCTATGTACCGCTTGTAGAACCTTGGGGTAACAGGTGCAGTAAGAATGGCTTTCTCCTCAAAATCTTCTATGAATATATCGGCGACAATCTGAGATACAGGTGAGCCCATTGCAACACTATCTACTTGCTTGTAAAACTCTTCCTTCCACAATAGATAGCCAGATGTAAGACAATGTCTTAATATTACTGCATATTCTGATGGCATGTTATTTTCATCTAGTTTCTTAATTATAACACATAAACTTATTGAAATATCTCGAAAAAACTACTATTACCAAGAAATAAATAATAACAAAAATAACCCTAGGAAGCTATGGAATATTCTAAATTCCCTAACAGGCAGAGTAAATAAATCATTAAATGCGGCGATATTAAAAACTTTTCAAAAAATAAATTAATGGCCAAACAATTGGCAAATAATTTTGGTAAAAGGCTTTATTGAAAACGTTGAAAAAATACTACCCAACTGTAAACAAAAGCTTTTAGAACCAGCAGAGTACATATTTCCTCAAAATAGCTCCATGCGGTTTAAAGTAGCAGACGGAAAGAGCATAAATAAAATAATCCAGAAATTGAACACAAGCAAATCTGCTGGAGCACACCAGATTCGCTGCATAGACATAAAATCCTTATGTGAAAAAATCACAACAACAATTACAAAGTTGATTAATACCAATGTTAATTCAGGTATTTATCCCTCAGAATTAAAAGTGGGAATAATAAGACCTATCTACAAAAAGGAGTCGCACTGTGAATATGATAATTATAGATCAATTACAATACTTCCTGTGATAGATAAAATTGTTTAAAATATATATGTAATCGGATACAAAGCTATTATATATCGAATGACGTCTTGTCCAGCACTCAGTTTGGGTTTCAAAAAAAAAATAATTCAACTACTTTTTTATTATCAAAATTACTTAGTTATCTCTGTATGTGGTCACATGACGGGGGACTCGTATTCAATTCTATGAAAACTAAAATTATGTATGTACGCTCGACGCACTCTGATAAATACGAAAGACCAATATAAATACTAGCAAACAGCCACGAATGCCTACATAGTTCGTCGAAATTAAATATAAACTGTAACTGTACTTCTCTAGAGCAAGTTAACACATATAAATATCTCAGCTTGATTGTAGACGAAAGATTCCATTGGAGTTAACGTATTGAATATGTATGTAACAAGCTACGGGCTATGCTACCAAAGCTGGCAATGTTAAAATACAAAATTCCATTTCCCATCCTTTTAAATTTGTATAACGCTCTTGCTGAGTCTCTTATTTCTTATGGCATTACAAGTTATGGAAAAACATTTAAAACTTACCTAGATAAAATAAATAACCTACAAATGAGAATATTGAAAATAATTATACCTAAGAAAGTAAAAAAATATATATACAGTATAAACAATATTAAAGGAATATTTAAATTCTGTAAAGTATTACCTATACATACGAAATTTAAGATACTAATATTAATAGAACAATTTCATAATAAAAAAAATTCAAGTTAAAACTAATCATAGAATTATTACAAGAAAAGTTACACAAATATATATATATATATATATATTTGTATATATATAAGTGAATAAAATAGTATACATATACTATTTTATTAATATATATTTTTACTCCTGTTGTAGTTGTTCATAGAAATATTTTTGAATTTGTTTTTGTAGTCATTCTCATTGATATCTGAGAGTATCGTGGAGATCATTACGGTAGGAGTTAAATATCTACTTGTACGTTTTCCATAGTAGTTATATATTTTAGGTGTTACGAGCTTATTTTGTGTAACTTTTCTTGTAATAGTTCTATGCTTAGTTTTAACTTGAACTTTTTTATTATGAAATTGTTCTGTTAATATTAGTAAATTTCGTATGTATAGGTAATACTTTACAGAATTTAAACATTCCTTTAATATTGTTTATATGTATATATATATACTTTCTTAGGTATAATTATTTTCAATATTCTCATTTGTAGGTTATTTATTTTATCTAGGTAAGTTTTAAATGTTTTTCCATAACTTGTAATGCCTAAAATGTATATATATATATATATATATATATATATATATATATATATATATATATATTAGTTAATTGTTCTTATTGATGATATATATACTTGCAACTAATATAAAAATAAATATACAATAAAAAACTATAAATAATAATTTAAAAAAACCAGATCAACTCACACTTCTCAATCATCAGATCAACAAACTGTATACTGTTTCTGCTGCTAGATAATCTAAGTGCTCGCAACGAACAATCTAATTATCATGTTCACATTCGAGGGCTCACCGAAATCGGTTTTTCTGTCAATACGGCCCGTTTTAGAGCAGTGATTTGCCATTACGGTGGGTTGTAAGTTATTGTTTAAAACATGTGCGTACCTATTCATTACTATTGTTACTGTTTGTAGGCAGCCAACGATTAGATGATTGTATTGTTTGTATGCGATTGTACTATTGCCTTACATTATGTGTGAGACTGTAACTTGCGGACAAACCTCACTGTTTTTGCAAGTTAAATAGATTTAATCCATGTATCATTCTTATGTTATAAATAAATTTAAAAAAAAATTGAGATGCAGTCTTCAACGTGTAGTCATGTAAATAGAGACTGAACATCAAAACTGACCATGGTTACATTGTCAGTAAGACGTAGGTCTTTTATCTCACTGACAATATTGTGTAAATCCTTAGTATGTGCTCTTGTGTGTTGGACGTAATGGAGCGTTAGGTTTGTGTATTTTCGGTAACCAATACAACTTCGGATGTTTGGCACCCGCGGGTATCGTGGAATTGACGTCTAAATTCAATTTCTCGGAGTTTTTCTTAATTATATCGATAGTTGTTTTAAGTTTTAGGGTCTGTTTTGACCTTACGATATGTACTCTCATGCGCCAAAAGTTGTTGTATTTTGAAATTGTAATCCGACGTATCCATTACAACCGTAGCATTTCCTTTATTTCCGCGGAGAATCGTAAGCTCTGGTCTGCTTCGTAAGGTTTTCAACGCGTTATATTCATTTTTGGGAAGATATAATTTCGGCACTGTACTTCGACGTAACATAGACGAAATGTCTTGGCGTATTGCCTATAAATCTTCATTACCAATATTATTTTTATGCGGGATTCTTCGCGGTGTAATTGTATAATTAAAACCTCTTCCTAAAACTTTTATTGTAGCGTCATCCGGAGTTTGTTTTGACAGGTTACAGACCACGCGTTGTTTATTATTCGTGTCTGTGGTCAAAGATGTCGTTTCGTTCTTACGTTTCCATTGATGTTGGACATTTGATTTAGTT